TCAATGTTTTTGTTCGTTGTTCAGAATTGTGAAGACAAGATCATTTTCTCGAGCACTAAAATAAAGACAAGTTCGGATCGGAAAAACCCAAAGAAGCTGAGAAGGACATGAGTGTCAAGACCCAGGTCTAGTCAGTCTTAAGTAGGAGGTTCATGACACATCTTCTGAAAACTCATCCAAGCAAGAACTAAAACACCTTTTTTATCCTTTCAATCCCTACTGCTCATTCATTTCCGATTCCTCTACATTGAAATTAATGTGACGAGCATTTAATTTCTCCTCACGATATCATAGCCAAGTCAAACATTAAGGTCACGAGAATTAAGGAAATGATCGCCAACTTAGGAAGCTTTTGACCATTACACAAATTCTTCTTGTTTGAAGCATAGGAAATGCGTGGGGAACGTTATGAAGAATTTACTTATTTATGATGTTGGATGTAAGAGGTTAAGCTTAGTTCCTCATTTCAATATTAATAATGATCCGATATGTAGTAGAAAGATGGTGAAAATAAAGCTATACATGTTATTCTCAAGGCTACTGATCATGCAGACGGTTGTATCGGGAACATTTAGATATTAACCACCAAACAGTGGCAGCCTAAAATTTTGTTTATTGCATAAATAGCTTCAAAAAAGGAACATTGAAAGATTCTATTACGAACCTTGTAGCTTTGATTTCGCAAAAAAGGAATACTGTGCTCAACAAATACGATTAGATTTTATAATTGACACATAACCCTAGGCTCATAAAATAAATTCGAGTTTTCAGCGTGTATCGATACACGCGAACTATTAATATGATGAAGGCTCTCACGTTTCATAGCGAGCACTACGTGATATTTGGATTTTCCCACTCTCAATATTTAAAGCTATTTTCATTTGCACCTTGCTGGTAGCCGTATTACTTACACTGATAGCTTAAACCAATTAAATTCGCTCGTAGTACAAAATTTGCTCTCCGCTTAAATTAGTTTTTCAAGTAATTGGAATCATTTAGCACTTTTGGTTGCATTTCTCTGCTGAGTGTTAGAACTAAGCTTTCGGTATCTCTTTTGCTCTGGTTTAACCTGCCTTGATAGGAATAAATGATACAGCAATATGAGAATAAGATTTAGAATAAGGTACAGGACACTTATCAAGTTCCGCACACCAAAGAAATGTAATTAGCGCCCGGTTTGATAACAAAAGATTGGTAAAGAAAGCATACAAGACAGAGGGTAGATGACACGCGCAAATTTCGTCAGCCACCATAAGTTTACAACCCTTTGTGCCGTATGATACCAACTTTTAATTCATGGTACATGACCAAGAAATAGCAGAAACTAAATTTAGCTCAAGGAGAAGCCGCAAGTTATCAAATCAGTCGTAGACGGAATCAGTTTTCGCGGTTTGGGTTCTGAACAGATGTATTCGAAAGTGAACGTGATCAATCTTGGCGAGAGATTCGTGAAGGCGACGTCTACATCCGTCAGATCTGTAGCCGCGGCAAAATGTTAAGTGAAATTATTGACTAGAGCTTAATGTATTTTCACTGTTCTTCCATATGCTTTTAGTATCTTATTATTGTTTGCTGACACGGCATGCAGAACATTACTGAAAACTAAGCAAGCAATATTTGCGAACATATATTTTTCGCTCCTTCAGTTTGTGAAATGGTAACAAGTTCGTATTGATGAGAGCCGAAAATGTGCTTAAGAGGAACTAAATTGATTAAACTAACTATCCACTGCCACCTACCAATGTGACAACCAAAGAGGCCTTTTATTAGCAAACATCTGACCACAATTTTACATGGATCTGACACGACGGTAACTCAAGTAAAAGGAGGTTAGTTGGTTAGTTGGTTAGTACTCTGTGTAGGCACACTACAAAAGCATTGAAATAAAAAGAAGCGCTCCTAATCTAAACAAACTGTAATATCAGCAAAATGAATTACACACAGCTCTGTCAGGGTTTTGCAATTTGATTTACAATATGTCACCAGCTGCATCGGTTACAAACAAAAGCAATCAAAGAAAACACAATTAGAAATTCAATCGTTGAAGAGCGAACGTGATCGGACAGAATTCTTAATAAGATATTGTCAACACGCGCCACTTCACCTGACCAATTGTGGGACAGTAATAACACTTTGGTGAAGAGTATTAAAGCTTGTGAAAAGTTTAAAAATCTTAAACCGTACACTTTGTTCAGAGGAGAATAAGCGCTGATCTACTTTGATGAAGAAGAAAATAAGTTACCGTCCCATTCTAAGAGGGAAGGTTCCGCCTTGCTTGACAAGAAAAGGAAACTTGATCCCAAAAATGTGCCGTTCAAGTCAGTGTCCATCATACTCAACTGAAAACCAAAGCGAGACTGAATCTAAAGCTGCTAGATTGTTCTTAAGAGGAAGAAACCAGAATGACAACTTTCGAATCCTCGAACGAAAGGAGAAAGATCTGGGAACATCTTCTGACGGAAAATACTATCAAGACCTTGCAATTTCAAGATCAGTAAACGAGGTTCTATCAACAAAGAGCGTTGTTTATCAGCTTCCGGCTCAGGACCTAAGTTTCGCTCTTGCAACGTTCCCAGAGTTCTTCTCTCAAGGACTGGCTAGTGAACATAAGGTTCTGACTAAACGAGTCGACCCTAGTTTAACAAATCAGGACTTTAATGATAGAAAAAGAAATCTGTCGAGCGAATACAAAGGACTGGCCCTGTGGTATATCCGGGAATACGGATTATAGCCATGCACTGTACTTAGAAAAAGAAACAATGCAGCTTATTATGAAGATCCAGTGCTTCCAGCATAAACGTAAATCAAATCTGAAATTTATTTTTAATTACTTCTGATGATTTAAGCCTAGTCAAGTCTTACGACAGCCTTATTTCAGGCTAATCGCGCACTACCCCAGAATTCCTTGTGGTAGTCTCACACTCCTCTGCCATTTCTAATTCTCAACAACCCCAGGCCCTCACTGTAGCGAGGAAATATGAGCGAAGAATACACATTTATTAAAAAAAAATATCATCAAATTCTGAATTAAAAAAATCCTTTAGTGCTATGAACTTATGTAGACTATTTTCGTCTTTTTTCACGGGCGTGAGCACATTAAATGCACGCTGTCCTGCCATTTTGCCATAGCTTAAGATGGACATTCTCGATTTGTTGACTTAATGGATTAAAAAAATACCTTGTGGAAATAAATATGTTTGTATGGGAATAAAATATAAACAATTATGTACCAAAGCCTTTATATAGTTCCTTTATAGTTTACCCGTTGGAAGACAAATACACTGGTATATTGCATACTTTACGGTGGTCCACAACTGTCACGTCAAAAGAAATAATCTCACGGCAAAAGAAATAACCTCACGGCAAAAGAAATAACCTCACGGCAAAAGAAAAACCTCACGACAAAAAGAAAAAACCTCACGGCGAAAGAAAAAACCTCACGGCAAAAGAAAAAACCTCAGAGCGAAAGAAAAAACCTCACGGCAAAAGAAAAAACCTCACGGCAAAAGAAAAAACCTCACAGCGAAAGAAAAAAAGTTCACGGCAGAAGAAAAAACCTCACAACAAAAGAAAAAGACTCACGGCAAAAGAAAAACTTTAAGGTATAGGAAATAACCTCACGGCAAAAGAAATAACAAGGTTATTTCTTTAGCTGTGAGTCTTTTACTTTTGCCTTGAGGTTCTTCCTTTTGTTGTGAGTCTTTTTCTTTTGCCGCGAGGTTATTTCTTTTGTCGTGACAGTTGTGGGCCACCGTACATACTGAATAAAGGAGAAAAAACATTCTTGCTATTATAAATATATTCTTAATTCGGTTGGACAAGATGAGCGTAACAAGGAAGAAATTTATCTATAATCACGGAAAATCAAGTTTCTTTTTGAAGAAAAAGTTAAATCTGTTTTAATATACGGAAACATTCTTTGCTAATTCCCACTCTCTTAAGCAGACAGTTCTACATACAGACTCTTTTTTCGATTGTTGTTTTGTCTCCCCGTCAAACTCGTATTTACTCATTCCTGTAAGCGGACACTCTCTCTTGAGCGGACGCGGAAACTTTTTAAAAGTGAAAATTGGAGTTTTCTTTTGTTTACGCTCTCTCTCGTCAGCGGACACCCCATGCTTAATAATTACCACATGGCAATAAACTCGTCTTGAATTCGCAATCCAACAAAAATATGACCTTTGACCGAGTAACAGAACAGCGGAAACCGATTTTTTCAAGTCTCTATCTGTCCGCAAGAAAGCAAGCTTTCCGTTCGTTTGACATAAACACTCAGATTGAAAATTCTCATATTTCAGACCGTCCCGAAAATTAAATAAGATAAACAAAAAAAGAGAAAGAGACAGAGACAAGAAAAAAAACAGAAAAGAATAATTTCGCTCTCACTCCTAGAGCTGAGTTCTGTTTTTTCGGTAAGTTTTCCTATTTACTTCAACTCTGTTTGCGATTGAACAAATATGTAAACCCCGAGGTGTTTCCGGTCTCACTTGAGATTGCCACGAAAGTTTGCAAAACGTCACTGAATCATTTACTTAAAGAGTATAGTGCCGTTGCTGGCCACTCCGTTACTCTATTCAGTAGCACAACTATCATGTAGTAGAGGTTTTTAGTCTCAATTTTAGCAAACGTGCTTGTTACCGCAGTACACATCAGTTTGGAATTCACGTGATCGACTAAGTGAAGACTTTCACGCACAAATACAGCTCTCTACTGCGAAATGCAGAAGTTTCATCTGGTTTGAAAGGGAAGAAAGATTCTTTACTTATTTACGTTCGTTGAATAACATACAACTATTTCTTGTTTCAATAACAGATGGGGCCGAATCATACTCGTTTTTTTTCTGTAACTTTGGCTTTAATCACGCATCGCGTGTAAACCAATGCCACCCTCCCTCTCGGAAGTCCTTGTTCGTCATCCGTCTCCGGTTACCTTAGGCATGCGATCACCTTGACCTCATTTTGTGAACTTATGGTCAGTCAGTGACGAATGTTTCAAGAAAAATCGAGTTGACTGTTTACACCCCTTTTGATTGTAAGTATTCTTACCTCAGACAGTCTGGTTTCCTTCTCAGTATCCTACCAAGCGAGCTTAGGAGAAACAGAAGGTGAGCTAAACTTTGGTCGAGGTAACTGTGATAAATAAGCTTAAGACAAAATATTTTCAGTCACATTGGATTTTTCTTTCTGCTCTAACCTATCCACAATACCTAAGGCGTCTGTAGTGTAGAGCAGCACGTATAATACGACGAAGCGCCACAACTGAAGAAATATTTCAAATGTTTAGGGCAAATAAGGCTTACTGTAATTTGCGAAACGAAACAAAATGAAAATCTGTAATTTGCGAAAATGAAAATATGCTAATAAGGTAAGTGTCGTGTCACGCATTCGAATAACTATTCATCGACAATCCTTACTTTTCCGAGGCAACATGTGATTACTTTTTTATAACATAAAGGGCAAAATTTTTTTTTTTATTACAGAGGTCATTTATGAAATTTCGTATCACTGAGGTCATTTTAGTGTTCAGTCAGAGTCAATGAACTGTAAAACTCACGAATTAGCTGTACGGAGTTTTATTCTTGTACAATAATACCAAAGCAATGCAACCAAGATTGCTAAAAAAACATTCGCCATCGATGAAATTATAATACTTGAAGGAACAATTTGAGCCGTTTTTGATGTTTTTTTAAACGTTTAAAAATTATTCAGAGTCAAGTGGGTTCTTAGCTCCTGTGATACTTGATGAAATATCTCCAGCAATATTCAAAATGGCGTAGCAATGACTGAAGTTGTACACATGGCGGCTTGAAGCACATGAGGCAGCAAATGTGAGCAAATTTTCGACAGTAACAGCTGACTCAAGGCACTTTTTGACTTGTCACTGATTCCTAAATTTATTTGTTGTTTCCGCTCGTCTCCCGAGTCGTAGTCGTCCAAACATATGCGTTATTTACCGAGCATGAGGTCAGGATGGTTAGAGATTATATCACTAATTTTTTTCCGGCTGTCGCACGAAAACATTTCTCCAGTGTTCTGTGCCTTTTTGTTTTCATTTTCGCCTATTTGTCTCAGTTCTTTATTAAATTCATCGTTCTCTCCGTCGAAATGAGACGTAATTGTTTCAAAAGCCAAACGAAACAATTTTTCGCTATTGTTAGACGACCTAAGAACAAATCAATTTCAAGTGATTTTGTCTGAGGCAGTTACCAAATGAACGAAAAATGCCTTCTGTCTCAGCCAATCAGCATTCAGAAATTTTGTCCTTTATGTTATGAAGCTAGAAACATAGATATGCAACAGCCCTCAGAACCGGCGTAAGTTTCTGCGTCTTACAGGCGGACGGCGGACAAGCGCACGAGCGCGAAGCGCGAGTTACGCGTGAGGGGAGGCGGCTCGCGCTTGTCTCCGTTTTACTGAAAAACGCAAAAAAAAATTATAACTGTTCTTCAGGCTAGAGAAGCAACCACTTTTTGTGGTTACTTTTTCCTATAGGGAATGTAAGAGTAAGCCAGATTGTTAAACAAATTCTCCCTTTCAGTGCCATAGGATACAGAGAGAAGTGTGGAGAATTTGCATAGTGATAATAGTTTTACAAAACTTTTTCGGTCAAACCGTAGTTACAACCAGTAAGTCTTGATTTGACTTTAAAAAAATCCAAAAAATTGGCTTTTGAAGGTCTACCGTATTCTTATTCTGAATGTGTACCTTCAAACGTTCCCAGAATTCCTCGGATGGATATTACGTCTTCTGTTAAGTCAGCTCCAGATGGAGGATATGGCTGGTGTGTCTGTGCAGCAGCTTTTTCAGTACAATTCGTCCTGGCTGGAATACAGAACAGCTTTGGAATTCTCCTTATTTACATCCTGGATGAATTTGGCAATGGGAAGGGCACGTCAGGTACACGGACCGTTTATACGAGGAATTCATCTGTGGCCTACAGATGACATGAACTAGATAAATAATGGTACACCTCCACTTTTAGAAGCAAATGCTTATGTAAGATTAGGGTTTGAGCTCGTTTTCAATTAGCTGCGGCTTTAATAAGACGCTAAACCACTCGCATAGATGGCATCGCAGCTTGTTCGCAGCTTACGTAAGACGAGAACTTACACTGCGCTGGCGCAATTTTTTCCCATGCTTGCAATTGCGGCCGCATGGTGGCACAGTGGAATATTTTCTTTAAATTCCCTGACGATGCCATGGATTGGCGAAATATTGGAATAAAAGAAAGGAAACACAGTAGCTCACAGTAGCGTCTATTTTACAGTCAATTTTCCATAGTCCCCCCCTTTAACTAAGACATGCTTATTGCTGTTGCTTCCTAGCATGGGTGGGTTCCATTCACCTGTTCGCTCTGTACGCTGTGGCTCCGTTTGTTACCATCGCTTGTGACATCTGGGGTTGCCGTATCACCGGATTTGTTGGTGGTTTAGTCTGCGTGATTGGTCTGGTGGCATCGTCGTTCGTCACCCGGCTCTACCTGTTATTTGTAACATATGGAGTGTTGTTCGGGATCGGTGCTTCGTTGGCGTACATCACAACTTTTAGGATCATCTCGCTCTGGTTCGACAGGTTAGATTTCGTCAGTGAATGATGCATAATTTCTTGCTCATCAACGTTTTTTTACCGTTATATAAGGGCTGTGGGAGCCAGAAAATTGAGTCTAGCTCAAGCCTCCTTTGTTTAAATTACGATATCATTGAGCTGTGTGAAGTTTGGGAGAGGGGGGTGGGGGAGGGGCATTGAGATTGCGGCGTTGCCGTGATACTCCGTGATTTTTTAGAGCGCTTTTCCATTCACTGTCATAAAACCAGAACCAAAGCAATCTGAAAAGCCAATCATAGGAAAGAAAATATGACGATTAGTCAATGAAATATCAAATTAAAAACAAGAAAACTGTCTGACGCGCGGGAAAACGCGAGTGACCACGTCGTGATTGGTTTTAGTCAATTTGATTCTGATTGGTTTAGAAAGTGGTGCGAGTTTTCTAGACCAATCACAAAACGAAGTAAAGCAAAAGCAAAGCCATCCCGGGTCACTTTCGCCACTCAATCGAAAATTACTTTTGTACATTATTTGGGAGAATAAAATCCCACTTTGAGGTATTGCCAAACTCCTATAATGTGCTTCAAATGCTATAGAGTGCTTCGCCTGCGTCATGAAAAGGTACACTTATACGAAATTTTTTTCATAGCCAGAAGATGGCGAAGTAACAAGGTGACAGTTAACTGGAAACATCAGTGAAAAAGTCAAGCACTTCACTGCTTAGGTGTTACATGTGTCAAACACTCACTATTTTTAAAGAATAGGTTCAAGATTTTTTTTGTAACCATGTTTACAGAAACCAGTCTGACGTGGCTTCTTACCTTAGTAAACTGAGAAATTAAACAATAGGAGCAGCCAAATTTGCAGTAGCCTACAGAACAGCGGTAATTGTTTTGCGTTTTACAGGTGAAGGGGGACAAGTGCTGGGCAAGCGCGAGGGAGGCGCGAGTCACGCTCGATGGTAAATAAGAGAAGTTTAGCGAGGGAATGATTTAGATACAGAGCAACAGAGCAAAAAGGACCACTTCGAACCAGTCAAACAAAAAGTTTAAATTTTCTCTTTGACCGTAGGAAATTAGCACTGGCCAATGGTATATGTAGTACTGGTGCATATTCCGGTACCATTGCCCTTGGGCCATTTCTTCAACGGATGGTGAAACAAACGGGACTCTCCAGAACCTTTATAATTTTGGCGGGAATCGTTGCTCTCACTGCAGTCTCTGCCCTTGCGTATCGTCCCCCACCCAAACTAGTCAGTATGGGCAAGAGAGACGTCCAGGTCAAGAAAATATTCGATCTAACACTATTAGAAGATAAATCTTTCCTAGTGTTTTTACTAGGGTTAGGATTATACGCCAGTGGCTGTTTCATACCTGCTTCGTATGTGGTAAGTAAGCAATGTTCATTTGAGGATGTGGTTCATATTTGTGCTTTAACCCTGTTATTTTTTACATCATATCGACCCTAAATCAAACATTAAGGGCACGAGATGAGGGAAATTATCACTGACTAAAGAAGCTCTAGACTGTGAAGCAAATTAGCACCTTTGGAACTGTATGGAAGAATATATGGAGAACATGCAAACTGGTGATAAGGTGTAAAAAAAACATGTACAAACACAGGATGTGAATTTTATACTCAAACCCTGCACAGTGGGAGTAGAGCCTTGTCTGTAAATGAAAACTGCATTGGCAAGTTGACAGAATTCTTGAGTTTATGCTTTTTATATCATTTCACTTTTGGATCAAGTTCCAGTTGAGTCTAGAAAGTGATTCAGAATAGCATTTCTTTACATTACTTCACCAACCACGCTGGTTAAATGTTATGATTTCAATAATCCTTTGTTTTGGAGATTGACACTCAGTCGTAAAGCGCTCTGACTATCTGGCCAGTAATGCAGTAAATAATTTGAACCCGAGGTTAACATTTGATCGCCGCGGTTGCCTTACCGTGTTGGTCAGGGTGTTCTTGAGAATGACTGATTTTGAGAGAGGTGAATGACATTTTGACAACCTTAGTATCATCAATCAAGTCATCATATATCAGTTATCATATATGTTATTCACCAGCCGGAAGGTCCGTGAGAAAAGAAAAAGTCTGTGACGTGTAATTTGATAAGTCAGTTTTCTTGTGATGTCACAACAAATTTTCTGTTTACTGTAACTGAAAAAAAATTTTGAATGTTAGAGAAGAGGTTAAGGTAAAAGTAAATCTGGACTGCTCTTGACCAGCCTGGTTCCCAGGGCCCCACTTCTTCGATCCCTTCCCTTCCTCTCTCTTTCTCTAAAAGAAGGGAAAGAGAGAGACCCTGGAAACGAGGTTCGCTCTTGACTAGCTCGTAATAGTCAAACGCCAAATAAAATATCAGCTACTCTTTTCCTACATTTTCAGCCCTCATTTGCCAAGGAGTTAGGAGTGCCACCACACAAAGGGGCTCTTTTGCTTATGGCCTGGTCAACATCATCAGGTGTTTTCTCCTTTTTGACTGGTAAACTTGCTGACAAGTTTTCACGCTACCGTGTGGAGATTTTTCAATGCGCTATGGTCGGGGTCGCCATATCCACATCTCTTTTGTCGGCAGCATGGAGTTTCCAGAGTTTCATGGGGATGATGGTAATATACGGGGCTTTCGATAGTGGCTTTGTATCACTAAAAGCAGTAGTTGCTGAAGACTTGGTTGGTAGTGACCAGGCCTCCAGGGGTGTTGGGATCATGTTCGCGGTGCTTGGTATCGCTTATTGCGCAGGAATTCCTTTGGCTGGTAAGTGCTTTGGAGACTACAAATTACCAAAGCAAATATCTACCGGAAGGGATCTTTCATCAGTCGATAACCGAGCCATCTACTCCTTCTTTTATCTCGTCACATGAGAACCTCGCAAGTCTCTGAGATCGGCGTTGAAAGCATAAGGCCATTAACTGAAAGCAAGAGAAAATAAGAGCCATTCAATTTATCGCCACTGACTTGAACCAGAAGGAAACCAGTCAAGGTAGTCGGGGTAGATGGAGTTCACTCGTCCCTAGTCTTGTCGGCTTTACTGTCAAATATCAACAAATCTTTCTAAGTATGAGTAAAGATCGATAAAATAGACACGGATTGTAAATGAAGATGTAAGATGCAGGCTTGATTTCTCAATGCGCAAAAAGTTATATAAGGAAAAACTACATTCGGCTTTCAGTAATAAGCCTCTAGTGGGTCATTGAAACCTCGACTATACCATCATTCGTATGTGTTGTTAACTTATCAATGTCTTGCTCTTTCCCCAGGTTGGATATACGACTCTACAAATTCATATCCTTGGAGTTTTGTTGCGGCGTCCGTTTTTAGCGCTACAGGCTGTATCCTGCTTTTCCTCATCCCACTGCTTCAGAATCTAAAAAATGTAGATCATGTCGGCCCCCTGAAAGGGAGGGAACTTCACTCAGACACAGATAAACTCAAATTCTTACCTACACCATTAATAATTGAAATATCCTTTCAAAGTGTGGACATAAGAACGTTACGAGAAACATATTTATGATGTTTTGTATAGTCGACATAAATAAAGTGGATGTTAAAGAGTGAAATCAAAGTGCTCTGTGAGCAAACTCGTGAATTGACACATGATTTTTTAGATTATGTTTAATGTTATCTGGTTTAGGGAATTTTGTGGTTGATTGCCATATCTAGAGTACGAGCAGTAGTTCAGTGTTTGCTAATGTAGCAAAGAAACAAAGTAACGTTGGGATAAGAGGGCATTACAATTGAAATGATCATGCTAGTACATTTGACAAGGTGGATGATGTCATGTGTTTTAAACGTCTATCATTTTTGTTTCAAAAGAAAAGGTTGGAAGTAAATGTGGGTGGAAAGTGAAATTTACTGTCTTTCGTTGTAAATATTAGAAAATCAAGGCAATACTGTCTTAATGAAAACATTAACGATTCCCTCTTTATCAAATGAGACAAACGGGAACGAGGTTTGAGTGATATAACTAAGCCAAGCCTGCCACCGTCATTTTGGATCTCCGCCTGGGTAGATTTAAGTCACGTGCTAGGCAAGATAGAATTTCATTTCAGGCCTATTTATCAATTTTGTGGTGTGTAACTTTCGCATTTTGGTACGTTGTATGTATGTTGAATCTTCAAATTGTCTTGAAACTTAAAAGAAAATTGTTCTTTAAAAATCCACTGAAAATCGGTAGCTAAAATTGTTTGTTTAGGTGTTATTTGATTTTCGTGTTAACTTGTTATTTCGTCAGTCGCCGGCATCTTTTGTTGCTTCACACAGGAAAAACACACGCGATGAAACGTAATAATCAATTTTGTCCTCAGTCTCACGCTATAACAGAAAAAGCTTTTGAACATCTGTAAACTCCGAGCGCTTCGCAGAAAGTGATATTTCAATGAATCTTCGGATTGTTTTCAAGTTCAAGGATTGTAAATTACAATTTTATGAAAAACGAAGGTTGTTCGTTATTTCTGTGTGAATCCTTGCATGCCTGCCAGTCGCTGGCGCCGCTAGTTGAAACTAAAACGAAAAAAAAAACTCTTTTAAGATTATCATTGGCTTCTTTTTCACACCACCACTATTCTTAGCAACAAAGGTCGCCATTTCGTCTGTTTATTGCTCGCCAAAAACTATCAAATGCACTCAAAAGCCTAAAATCTAAAAAAAGTTTACAGGAATCGACCAATCGAGCGAGCGAGCGAGCGAGCAAATGCCATTCCCCACATCGTATCTATAACTCGCTCTTGCGCATGCACGCAAGTCACGAGTTAAAAAGGGGGTAAGTTTCTTAGGAAACTGTGGCGCTGCGTCAGTGGGAGAGTATAACAGGGTAATTTGGTATTATCGACCGAGAGAGTCAAAGCTGACGTTTCGGGCGTTAGCCCTTTGTCAGAGCAAATTGCCTTTTAACAGCTGTTGACACATCGATTATACACCACGATTTCTGTTTTTCTGCAACTACAACTGATCTGTCTCTATTATGAATTATTTAAGGGTAGGTACGTCATGTATGGGCGCATATTATGTCCTTAATACATATAATACATATTATGTCCTATACTTTACTTACAATACCCTACACACCTACAGGGCTATACACAGCTATACACGGCAATACACAGCTATACAGGGCTATACACAGCTGTGCAGGGCAATACACAGCTATACAGGGCTATACACAACTATACACAGCTATACAGGGCTATAC